TTACTAATGCGTTTACGTTTTATAACGGAGTATCGCCATATCAGGCACACACAGGACGTCAGCCCTCCTTCCTTCCTGATCTCGATACCCTTGACTTTCCCAAGGGACCCGAGACTTCAGGACACGAACGAGAACGTCGTGTAAGGGAAGTCAGCCTAGAAGCTATAACTCAGGCTACTGCTGTGGCCAAGACAAATCGGGCTCTTAGGGCTAAGACGACTCCTGATGGTGCTCGCCTCTACTCATCAGGGGATTTGGTCGACTACCACCGACCTACTGCCACCAAGGACGACCATGGAGGCTGGAATGGCCCATTCCCGGTGATCCGAAATGTGCCTGAGAGAGGACATATTGTTGTCAAGGCAGGATCTCGTGAGGTAATTGTGATGTATCCTGATGCTCGTCACACACTATGCATCGAATGTCTCCTCACACGGGAACTTGGCATGGATAATATGGCCATGCAAACCGTCCTTGCTTATGTGGCACACCTCAGCGCAGGGAAACGTGCCAAAGTTTTCGGGTACATCCCCGATTACAAGGGAAACCTTAATCTGTCAGACGACAGCAAGTTTCACCCGCGCGTACACTTAGCACTACTGTATCTCGTACGAAATTACTTCCGAGTAGAACATGTAGTAGCAGTTCGATTGGCCAAGAGTGTGTCAAGCCTACCTGCAGTAAAGTACGCCACCGGGTCTACGCTGATCCACTATGACAACGACATCAGCCCGGCGTTCCACTATTACGAATGTGTGGGCACTGGCTTACACATTTCTCAGATCACTGGTAGCACCCACTCCAGACTTATTCAATGCTTGACTTCACGTGTCCCTTCCTTAGGATTCCACGACGATTTGGCTAAATATCAGCATCCAAGCAACACGTCTGGAGAACACGAGTCGCCTGGAAACAGGCCTTCTCCAGACACACCAGATGCTTCATCGCCGAGCGAAGGCCGTCTGTCGACAATCTATGAGGAAAATGAGGAACACAATATTGAAGCTATGATGCTGGAAGAGTGGTACGACGAGCTACGTATGGACCTTCATCCTACGACGATTACCGATGATTTTTTTTATTGCGTCCCAACAACTATGCTGCCCGACCAATGTTTTGGTTTCAGCATTTGTGGACGAAGATGATATTACATCATCAGATATGCTCGGAGACGAGCCGAAATCATGTGATTCCTGTCTAGTATCGCTTTGTTCAAACACAACTGACGAGAGCTACTTTCTAGACAGTGATGAATACGGTCCTTACGTTGAACTATGCTTTACATCAGAAATGTCAAAAATAGTGTTGGATCAGACTCAACTTGCACAGCTCGATACCGATATGGTCGCAACGATGAGAGTATATGTATCCTCTGCTGCTAAACGTGCTGTGGTTGTCAAAGAAGATGATCTACTGACCAAAGCCGACATAGCAGCACATCCAAAGGAGGTTAGTGAAGCCTTATATACTGAGCTCAAAATCTGGATTGATAACCGATGCTTTGAGATGTACGATTTATCCAAAGCTTCCAACATCATGACATCCAGATACGTATACAAGTGGAAGTTCGTAAAGATGGGTACCGAGAACGTTAAAACCATTCGTCTCAGACTGGTCCTTCGTGGATTTATGGATACTGAGGCTTTTGATGTGGAAACATTCTCGGGAACCGCCCGAAGGCAGTCCCAACGACTCCTGGCAAGTGAAGCGGCATGTCATCCAGAGTGGATCTTAGCATCCATGGATATCGATAAGGCGTTCCTAAAAGGTTTGACCTATGAGGAACTTGCCCATGCCACCGGCGAGGAAACTCGCATGGTTTGCTTTACTCTTCCACCAGGAAGCGCTCAGGTACTTCGTACCTTACCCGGCTTCTCATCCTACGACGAAAGTCGACGCTGTCTTAGATGCCTCAAACCAGGAACGGGTACTAAGGACGCTCCAAGAGCGTTCTCTCTCAAACTTCGTACGACCACACGAGCTATAGGACTTACACCGACCAGCTACGATCCTGAATTTGAATTCAGCCAAGACCTTCTGACGGCAAAACATGTCGATGATATTAACATGACAGGTCTAGAGAAAAATATAGACGACTATGTACAACGCGTCGAAAAGGTATTTGGCAAATGCAAGCTCAACAAGCACACATATACGAACTGCGCCGTTCGCTACACTAAGAATGATCAGGGAGATGTGATCATGGACCAGGACGAGTATATTAAACAACTACGTCCTATCACACACCTAGAACTTACAGGAGCGGCGGCCGACGCCAAAGCCACGAAACTCATTACCGACATGTTCGTCAGCCTGCGAGGAGCCCTCGCCTATGCCCTTCTTACCCAAATCTGGCTTATGGTATATGTGGTCTCTCTTCAGAAAATTCAAGAGCCCACCAATTTGCAAGTCAGACGTTTGAATGCTGTGACGCGAAAGCTGATCAGCAGTCCGAAACGTATCACCTTCCCTCGGATGAAGCCGACGAATGAAGTTGACATCCATAGCGATTCGGGGTATCGGAAGCTTACCGGGGAGGAGGATGACGAGACCAAGGGCTACGGCATACGCGGGGCCAACGTACTACGGCGAGGAAACTCGCCCCAAGGCAAGTCCGTCGTTCACCTCTGTGACGGACTATGCAAATCACACCGATTACAGGTGAGGTCCAGTTATGCTGCGGAGGCACTTGCAGCCGCACATAACCTTGATGAGTGTTACCCTACGCTCATTACTTTCCACGAGCTTAAGGCAGGGGCTTTGACTCCACGACAACTACGAGACATGCGCGAAGTTGGAGGCCTTGCTATCAAAGTCTCTCTTACCATAGACGCCGAGTCCGTCTACAAATCTTTATCAGGCAGGGATCTCAAAATTCCTACAGAACGGACTCTGCTTGGACATATCAGCTGGATACGTGAGCTCATGGATATAGGTATAGTACATAACGTACAATGGTGTGATACTAGGGATATGACCGCAGATGGGCATACAAAGGGAAGCATCGATCGGGAGCTGCTTCTGGAAGTGATGTCAGGCACTCAGTCATTTAAGTATGACGTGAAGCAATTTGTTCCCTTTCGGGGTCCCGAGGACAGAGACAAACCTAAGTCTAATCAATTTTAGTCTGTCCTTGTTGCCCTCGCGGTCCAGTTTGCCAGCACGGGCGCCTACTATAAAGGCGCCCCTTTAGCTGCTCGGAAACGAGCCTTATATTTCACGCCTGGCAACGAGCCGGCTTCGTACAACTCAGGCTCTTTGCCTTAATACACATTTGCTTGGTGAGGTATGGCCTAATTTTGGCTTACCTCTAACTGAGCCGATAGCCCTTCATTGTTTGAAGGGGCTGTCCTGTATTTGCGTGAAATACTTTGCGAGGAAACTCGCCTTACAGTCTGGTGTTTGACCAGACTGTACGCACTGTTTTCTTTTCTTTGCAAACAGTCGTGCGCGCGATTTTTGCATGCGACTATGCTCTCCGTCTCCTCCCCTCCCGACTTTAAGGGTAGCTCTTTGGGAGATGTTACAGTATCGGGAGCATAGCTCGCGCGCCGTTGCCTTTGGCCCAAGGCACGCGCGCCCTATTTGCCCGGACACCGCGAGTGTTCGCTATGTGCTGGAAAGATCATTACATCGATCTTATCCGATCTTACTCATCCACCCCTCATACTGTACCTTCACAGCAGAGCGATGGATGCAATTTGCCAGGCTATATGCCATATTTGAGCTACCAGGCTCACTTTCGACTGGTCGGGCGCAGATCCAAGAAGTGCGCGCAGACCTCCGGAAACCTATTTCCCAAGTATTACTTGCACCCAGGGGCTCTTACCTCGCTTAACTCAATTATTGGTTGGTTATTCGGGGTTTTCGCCGCGTTGCCGCGTGTTGCCGCCCGTCGCCACTTCGTTGACACGTGGTTGCCGCCTCGTGCGCTGTGTGGTTCTTACTTCGTTAGTTCTCCAAGCTTAGACGCTCTTATTTGGGTGCCTACGGATCTTGATGGGTATGCCGCATGCCGAAGATTCGCCACGTTGCCGTCTGTTGCCGCCCGTTGTTGCCCTCTGCCGCGCCACGTGGCCGCCCGTTGCCGCGTGTGCCAAGAAGCCGCCACGTTGCCGCCCGTTGCCGCCTGCGGAGCTATGTCGAGGATTCGCCACGTTGCCGCCCGCTGCCGCCTCGTGCGTTGCGTGTGCCTGCCGAGGATCCACCACGTCGCCGCCCTTTGCCGAGTCGTCGCCGCCTCGTGCGTTGGGAGGGTGTGCCGAGGATTCGCCACGTTGTCACACGTCGCCGCTTGTTGCCGCCCGTGGCCGCCTGCTGCCTCGCCGTTGCCGCCCCGTGCGTTGGGGATTCGCCGAGGATTCGACGTGCTGCCGTCCGTTGCCCCCTGTGGGGGCATTCCGAGGATTTGCCCCGTTGCCGCCCCTTGCTGCGTCTCTGCCGTCCCGTGCGCGTGCGCTGCGTGGGTGTGCTGAGGGGGGAGCCCGTTGGGAGACCAGAGTGACCAGAGAGACTCTACGAGGCAGCACTTGGCAGTGTACCACGCCTCAACGTGCCGGGGGGCATGGCGGCGAATCATGGGAAGGAGGCTTGAGAGGTATAGGAGGAAGGCGGAGCCGGCAGGAGGAGGAGGCAGATGAGGAGGAGGAGGAGGAGGAGGAGGAGGAGGAGGAGGAGGAGGAGGAGGAGGAGGAGGAGGAGGAGGAGGTGTGAGAGGCGGAAGAGGACGAGTACACGAACAAATGCGTGTGATATTACAGAAGGCATATAAATTGAGAATCCGGCCTGCCAGCAGGCGCGCCACGGACATATCTAATTTGCCCCCTAAACAGCCCAGGGATCCACAAAAGCTCTTGGGCACCGTAGTAGCCTCAAGGATCTATGAATAATGTGCCCCCCTGGATGTCTGATAGCAAGATCTCTTCTCGCAGGTGTCTACTGTATCGATATGGGTGCGTGTATGGGTCTGACTTTGAGTACGATTTGGATTCTGAAACGAGTGCGAACGACTACGAGACTGCACGATCAACAGTATGGTCATGAGCATCGCACCTCGCAGAGGGAAGCTGCAGCACGCTGCGCAGCCCGCGGGGAAGCACCGGCGCCAAGATTTCGCCACCGCGGCGCACCCATGGAAGACATCCGGGTGGCGCCGCCATCGTGATCGTGGGCCAGGAGGATCACGAGAATCCTCGAGGGGCAGCACCCGGCTTCGGCAGGCCCTGCCGCTTGCGTCCTCGCGTGGGGAGCGCGAGGCAACCGGGCTGCTCGGCTGCCGAGCAGGATCGCAACATAGAACGGTAATCGAGGGCCTTCGGGTTAAGTCGGGCGTGTCCCTCTTACAGGAGGAAGATTCAAAAGTGGTTCACAAATGGTCCAGGGATTTTCTGCGGATTTTTGTGTGGAAATTTCAAATTTTCCCCCAAATCTGGGGACATGCCCGACCTAAGCCTTCGGCGACAAGACGCACCCGCCAGCAGCGGCAGAGGCGGCGAAGCCCGCCCGATTTTCCCGAGCCCCGCTGCGGCGTGAGGCGCCGGGCGCGACCCTGCGCGGGATAGGGGGCCGCATGCGAGCCCTGCCCCTACCCCCGCGAAATTCTGAGGGGGAGGGTGGGGTTCCCTTCGCTCGGGAGCTCCCGAGCGAACTGAACCCCACCCTTCCTCCTCCCTCCTCCCTCCTTCCTCCTCCTCCTCCTTCTCCTCCTCCTCCGCCTCCTCCTCCTCCTCCTCCTCCTCCTCCTAGTAGTAGTCGTCGTAGTCGTAGTCTGAACCCCACCCGCCCCCTCCGAAAGCGTGGGGGGGCAGGGGCAGGGCTCGCACGTGGCCCTCTATGGGAAGCACAGTGGCCTGCGGGCCGGCCGAAGGCACACGGCTCTCTTCCGTGGGGGGAAGGCCTCGTCGCCGCGGCCGGGCGGGGCTCGGCACAAGACGGGCCAGGGACCGGGCCCAGGGATTGGGGGCCCGACCGGAGCGGGCCTTTTGGCCAGGTGCCTCCTCCTCCTCCTCCTCCTCCCCTCCCTCCTCCTCTCCTCCTCCTCCTCCCCTCCTCCTCCTACCTCCTCCTCCTCCTCCTCCTCCCCCTCCTCCTCCTCCTCCTCCTCCTCTCCTCTCTCCTCCTCCTCCCTCCATCCCTCCTCCTCCTCCTCCTCCTCCTCCTCCTCCTCCTCCTCCTCCGGCGGGGCGAAGAAGCGGCGGGGGAAGGGTCGGGATTCCAGGGGATCCCGTGAGGAACAGATCATCAAGACATGGTATTTTGGGGGGTCCGCCCTCTTCTTGTTGCACCGCCGCGGCGGTTGACAGGCACGCTGCACCCGAGGGCCAGGGGCCTCGGGGGCATCTCTTTGAATTCTGAGCCTTGGCTGCCCAATGTAATGACCTCGCGCGAGGTTGGCGCCCGCGGCTGCACGCAGAGCGCTGCCGGTTATGAACCTGACCGGCCGTGCAAGTGGCCATGAAGGGAAAGGGTTCCTGAGGGAAGCGGGTCCTAACGAGTCCGGTCGCAGCTGATGCGACGCCGCCCGGTGTTTCTGGAGCGGCCCTGCAAAGTCGAGAGGCGTCTTCGGGTACAGTGGAGGCCCATGCCAAGAAACACCCTGCTTGCCTCCAGGGTGCCCTGGGTTCCTTGGGTTCCGAGGGCTTTGCCATGGAAAGCGTGACGTTCCCACGCCAAAAGTCAGTGGACGTCCTGGGTCTCAGGGTTGGGTTTCGTGTGGGAGGTTTCCTATGGACTGGCCTCCATTCTTCGTTGAGCGGCCCCTTCAAAGTTGACGGGCGCGCTGAGCTCTTTGCTTGGAGCCCCCCCGCCTGCGCACCTCGATGCGCTGGCTTCGAGTGTGCAGGGGGGGGGACAAGCTCCCCGTGGCGCGACTTCGGTTCTGTACCGTGAACTGTGCCCAGACTTGTAAACCCAGGTCGTGGGCGGGAAACGCATTCGTATCCACGGCCTCGCGGGAAGGGCCCCGCGCGGCGTGTCCTCCTCCTCCTCCTCCTCCTCCTCCTCCTCCTCCTCCTCCTCCTCCTGGGATGTGGAGGGCGACGCCCCGTAGATCCGGGGCGCTGCTTCGCGGATGCCCCGCGCGGAACGTGTCCGTGCGACCTCGTAATCCACGGGGACGACGCTCTGGAAGCCCGACCGCGAGGAGGGCGCGGACGTCCGCCTTCCCGTGCTCCCAGGGCTCTGTGCCCGGGGCCAGCGCTCCCTCCCGCATTAGGAGGAGGAGGAGGAGGAGGAGGAGGAGGAGGAGGAGGGGGAAGAAGAGGAGGAGGAGGAGGAGGAGGAGGAGGAGGAGGGGGAAGAAGAGGAGGAGGAGGAGGAGGAGGAGGAGGAGGAGGATTGTTCCTTGACGGCCCTGGCTCCCGCGGAGGGGCCAGCGCTTCCTCCCGCAGTTGAAGGGGCCCCAGGACACACAAACAAATACACACAAACAAAACTATTCCCCATATTTTCCCATACTTTCTGGGTTTCTGTCTTCCCCCTCACTTCCCATAGTTTCCCATATTTTCCAGGGGATCGAGGATTAATTGTGTCTGTGTGTTTCTTTTCCTCCTGAGAAGTGTTGTTCCTTGACGGCCCCTGGCTCCCGCGGAGGGCCCTCGGCGTGGGCTGAGGACGGCGACACAGTTTCGGGGGACCCGCTCCCCCCAGGATCAGGAAGACAGCTATCGGGCTGGGAGGACGGGGTTAAGAGGAATGATCGGATCATCCATACAACGGCGTATGTTGAGGGTGCTTCTTCCGCAGTCGTGCCCAGTATCCTCCCAGCCCATTCCTCCCAGCGCGATGATTATCTTCCCCCCCTGGACCTGTTCCTCTCATGCTGGCGGCAAGTGGTGTTCGCGGCGCTTGCTGCCGAGTTTTTCGTCATCATTCGCACGCGGGCGGCCGGGGCGATCCGTCTGTGATGCCGATGCTTCCGCAGAGCCCGCCCGCCCCGGTGGAGCAGCACGCCGATGGATCGATTGTACGCCATCAGGGCGGCAGACCGGGTGGGTGCCAGGGTAGCAGTTGAGATTCGCATCCGCGCAACCGGATGCAGCTCTTGGAAGGTTGAATTCAGCATCGGCGCTGGTATATCCGGTCGAAGACTGGCCTATACTTCGGCACAAGTTGGTGCACCTCTTTCTATTTCCCCCCATTCCGGCCAAAAATCTGGGCCAACCTGGCTCAATGGCCCCGTGGTCCTACGAAGACCTCCGAGGAGTTGTTGCTTAGCACTCGTCAGTGTCCATGTTGTGTTTCAAGGCCTGGGGCGCTTCCGAACATTCCAGCTCCTTGCGAGCTGAACGTGTTGGGCCTGCACCCGTTCGGCCAGACCCCAGGGGGGAATGCTCTGAGCGAGGGTGGATCATACGAGCGTGGAGCTCTTTCGGCGGAGGTCGTCCGTGACGCCATCGGAAGAGTCGCACCCTCCACCGAACAACGCAAATGGCATACATCGGCTAGAGGTAAGGTCTCCCGATCGCCGAGCGCGATGCGATGGTAGCGTCTTGCGCGCCTGCTTGTGGCCCCCCCGCAGCCCCGCAAGAGCCGCGCACCAAGGGTCACTCTTACGGTAGGTTCGTGCGGCGATGGCGCGCCGGCGGCGCCAGTGACGGCGTTCAAGGTTGAATTCTGCGACGCGGAAGCACCGGCGAACACGGTGACGCCTCTGGACCTGACGGAATTCGAACTCGAACGATCGGGGCCGCGATCGATTCAGGGTTGACCGCTCCACTCGGTGTCAAAAGCCTTTGCGCGCGCCGACGCCGCACGAACCTACCGTACCCATGGCCACCTCTTTCGGGTATGGCCAGGACCCCAGGTAAGGGGACCCGGTTAGTGGTAGGGCCCCGGAGCCTTTGAGTTGGCCAGAATCACTGAACCAGGTTTACCATAGCTGGTGTTTTTTCGGGTGACGGCAGTTCCGGTGAGTGGGAAAGGGCGGGGGGGCGCCCCCGGTTAAACCAGGTTCCACTAAACCCAGTTCTGCCAACGCCCCAAAAATCCAGTCCAGACGCCGAGACCAAAAAACTTCCTCGGGCTCGGGAGGGGCTCCGGCTGCCGGGCCTTCCCTCTTTGTGTCAGGAGGGGAAGAGACACACAGACACAACGAATCGTCGATGCCCCAGAAAGCATGGGAAAATATAGGAAGTGGGTGGGGAGACAGAAACCCAGAAAATATAGGAAAGTATGGAGAACATATGGGAAAATATGGGAAAATATTCGGAACATATGGGGAACTATGGAAAAAGATGTGTCTATTTTCTTGTGTGTCCCAGGGCCCCTTCATTTTTGGGTCTGGGTCGGGAAGAGTCTCTCCGAGGCCAGGGCTCGCCACGGCCAGCAAGGCCTCCAGTCGCTCTTACAGGTGGGGGGCCACCGCCAGGAGACACCCTTCAGGAGGGAAGGAACACACAGACACAATCAATCGCCGATTCCCCTCAAAATATGGGACAATATGGGCAGAGGGGGGGAAGACAGAAACCCAGAAAATATGGGAAAATAAGGGGCATAGTTTTATTCGTGTGTATTTATTTGTGTGTCCCAGGGCCCCTTCAACCCTGCTTGCTTGCCCCCAGAGGGTGTCCTGGGCGTCCTGCGTTCCGATGGCTCTGCGATGGCAGGCGTGACGCTCCCACACCCAGAGTCCACGCCATGGACGTCTTTGGGGTCTCAGGGTCGGCTGTCCTGTTGGAGGTTCCTTGTGGTCGAGCCCCTAACGTATCCTGCGTTCTTCATGAGCACATACACTGCCAGAGGTCCGCGCGCCTCCGACTGGACGTCTTTGGGGTCTCAGGGTCGGCTGTCTTGTTGGAGGTTCCTTGTGGTCGAGCCCCTAACGTATCCTGCGTTCTTCATGAGCACATACACTGCCAGAGGTCCGCGCGGATTTCTTGGATCCGCAACGGACCCCGACTGGCGGCGCCTCCGGCAGGCTTCCCGCGGCCGCCGCGGGGTCGCCGCGGCTCGTCCGGGGCGCCGCTGCCGCCGCAGCAGCCGCCGTCGCTGCCGCCGCCGCCGCCTTCGCCGCCGCCGTCGGCGGTTCGTTTTGGGGGGCCGCCGTCCTGGCCGCCGCCGTCGTCGCGGCAGCCTCCGTCGTCGCCGCCGCCGTTGTCGCCGTTGCCGGCTGGTCATTCCCAGAGAGTGATTGGAATCGCTTCTTGGCGCTCTCGCCCCGCCGCCGGCGCGATCCGCTCAGTTCGGGAGAAGAATCCGGAGCCGATGCAACAAAACCGCGCCGACCTCGGACAGGTTGCACCTGTGTCGCGTTCAGGATTCCTGCCGAGGTCATGGGAGCGTGGTCGGTACCTTGGATCCGTCACGTGTCGTGAATCTGAGGAGGGGGAGGAGGGAATGACGAGGAGAAGGGGGAGGAGGAGAGAATTTTCGCATCACGTGAGAGATCTCTCTGTCAACGTGGTGCTCCCCCGAGCGCAGTCTCCGCGACAGGGGGCACCCCTCCGCACCAGCGGGGTCCGCCGGAGTTGCGCACCGAGCCACGCGCTGGGTGACCGCCTGCACCAGCCCTGGCCGACCCACCCTGGGCGCGGGATCGGCCCTCCCTCCACCCCGCTCCCTCCTCTCGTCCCCTTCCCTCCTCCCTCCCCCTCCTTTCCCTCCTCCCTTCTTCCTCCTCCCTCCTCTCTCCTCCCCCCCTCTCATCTTCGACCACCTCCCTCGCTCTCTCTCTCCCTCTCTCTTTGCTCTCTTTCTCTCTCTCTCTCTCGTCCTCCGCGAAGTTCCACAACAGGAGTACCACTCTCCTCCCCCGAATGAGATGTGCCGAGAGAGGTGCGAGCCCCACAATTCAGGCGATCGCAAACATGGATCAAGGAGGCGTGGATTAGCGACGGGTCACGTTTCCATGGGAAACCGCGGACTTCCGCCGCCGAACGAGGCGGCACCAGCCGCATTTTGGGGAGGGCACCTCCCCGGATCCATGCATTTGGCGACCGCGCGCCAGATCCATGGATCGCTAATCCATGTTCGCGCGCCCCCGAGCAATGGTGCTTCCGCTGCAGCGTGGGCCCCATTTCAGAGGGGAGCGAAGCATGACCTAAGCACACAAACTCGGAGTTCCGGGCGCCGGGGCCCCTGGCGGCGCCTCTGCCGCCCTTGGCGGTCCAGCGCTGATCCAAGACATCCGCGCGGACCTCCGAGTTTCCATGTCTATGCCATTGTCCGTTCCCCTAACAGTGGTGCTCCCGCTGCAGCGTGGGCCTCATGTTACGCTTGGCGCCCCTGCCCCCAGCGTTCAGGACAATGCTCTCGCCGGAGCGCGGGCCGCTTTTTTTCTGGATCTCCGAATCCTTTCTCTCATCTCCCCTCCCTGCCTCCGCCCTCCCCGGGTCCTCCCGCTTCTTCCCCTCCGGCTCCTGCTGCTTCTGTTCGTACTCGTCCTCCTTCTTACTCATCCTCCTCGTTTTCTTCCTGCGCATCCGCCTGCTCATCCTCCCATTCCTCTCCTCCACTGTACGCAGCTCCCCTCCTTCTGATGGCGCATAGCACGGCGGGGTCCTCTTTGGGAGTGTCAGGCCCGCTATGACACGCATCGGCTGGTACAGAGCAAAAATCAGCGCAATGGGACGGGATGGGAGGGAGCGCTAGGACGTCAGCTCTGGCGCGAGCGCACCTAGTTTGCCCATCACTTCCACCTCCCTCCTCCTTGGAGACGGCTGGCGGGCTCGTGGATGAGGCCGTGTTGGCTCCAGCGTAACGGAGGAGGGAGGAGAAATGAAAAAGGGTAGAAGGTAGGAGGACGGGCCTGGGCAGGACTGGCGCAGGCGTATATTAGCCAGCGCACTTCTAGAGCATTTTTTTCGTGTCATTTCGCGCCCTTCCTCGGCTCCGCCTGCAGAGGGGTCTGCGAGGGCCCTTTGCATGCTGGCCAACAGGCGACGGCTGTAACCGTCGACGCCGAGCCGCAGAAAAGGCGAGGCTGCAGGAGGAGGAAGATGAGGAGCAGGAACAAACATAGGGAATCTAAGTGATCGTTTTCTTATTCATCTTTTTGCCGATCGGCGCGGGCCCTCGTACCCCCACCTCCCCCCCCCCCATGTAGTAGATTTTGGCTGTTTTGGGCGCCTGTTTCGAGCAGGTTGGGTCCCCCCCATAGGACGAACTGTTACAAACAGTCACACTAAGTAGAGGTCCGGAGCCAGACCCCCCCCTACCCCCCCTTCCGGCCAATGTCGAAACGCCGAATAAACGAAACGCTCACTAACGTATTCGCATGAACAGATGCGTTCGAAAGTCCGCGCGGCTTTCTTAGATCGGCGCTTGGGCCCCCCAAGCGGCGCCTCCGGCGCCTCACCTGGCGCGCTCCACGCGCCAGGGAATCTTCGCGGAAATTTGAAATTTTCTGTCTATTTTCTTGTGTCTCTGTAGAGGAGGGGGAAGAGGAGGAGGAGGAAGAGAATAATGAAAACAGTAGGATGCGGAGGATGAACAGCAGCGGGAGGAGAAGGTGGAGGATGCGACAGAAGCTGAGGACTCGGATGTTGCAGAGAAAATAAAGGAGCATGAGGGGGAGGGGCATGAGGCAGTGGGGACCTTCGTACGACGAGTCTTGTCGTGTTCTCGGAACCTGCCCGCAACACTGACTTGTATAGATGTATGGTTACGAAATTGGAAACAAATTGTTCATATGAAAAAAGCAGCGTTACAATCACGGCAGAGCAAGAACAGCAACGACAACGACATCTGACGAAAGCGTCGATGCTATGCCCGCGCGACTGCGACAAGAAGTAACAAAGGGCAGGGATGATGATGATGATGATGACGATGATGATCATGATGATGATGATGATGACGACGATGACGATGACGATGACGATGATGACGACGATGATAATGATAATGATGGTGATGGTGATGGTGATGGTGATGGTGATGGTGCTGCTGCTGATGATGATGCTGATGATTATGCTGATGATGATGAAGATGAGGATGAGGATGATGATGATGATGATGATGATGATGATGATGATGATGATAATGATGATGATGACGATATTGATGCAGTGATGGTGATGGTGATGATGATGACGAGGATGATGATGATGCTGATGATGATGATGATGATGATGATGATGATGATGATGATGATGATGACGAGGAGGATGAGGAGATGGAGAAACGAGGGGGAGGAAGAGGGAGGAGGAGGAAGAGGGAAGAGGAGGAGGAGGAAGAGGAGGAGGAGGAATACAGAGGAGAATGGAGGAGGACGGAGGAACAGGGCAGATCAGGAGGGCGGCTGTTCCAGGTGTGAGGCCTGAAGAAGAGCCCGTCGCCGCCCGACCTCGCACGTCCTCCTCTCCCCAGAGGTATCCCCGGTGGCCGCAACCGGGGCTCTGGAGAGAGAGCCCGAGCGGCCCCCCATCTTGGAGCCCCGAGCCCAGCCTCCCCTCGACCCCAGGAGACCCTGGAGCTTCAACAGCCATCCTCCCTCCTCCCTCCTCCCTCCTCAGCCTCCTCCTCCTCAGCCTCCTCCTCCTCAGCCTCCTTCTCCTCCTCCTCCTCCGCCTCCGCCTCCTCCTCCCCCGACTCCTCCTCCCGAGGGGTTCCCAAGTGGTAAGAGCGGGAGGCTCCAGCGGCAGGCCCGGGAGCTGCAGCAGGCAGCGGGCCCCGGAGGTGCAGAAAGAGGCGGATTTTGTGGGAGGTTCGACCAGAGACGTGTTGAGGACCCCTCGCCGGAGTGACTTTTGGTGCGGGCCCGAGCGGGTCCCCCGATCGCCGAGCGCGCTGCGATATCTGATGCCTGAGCGCTTGGGTTTGACCCCTCCCCCTGCGCCAAAGGTCACTCTTACCCAGGGTCACTGTTGCGTGCAGCCGAGAGGTGCAGGCGGCAAGTCTGGTTGGATTCACAAGCGGGGAGGCGCCAGCGGCAATCGTAGGTGTTGCCAGGGGCGCGGGATGAGCATACCTACGCTAGGCACGCCAGATAAGAAGTCAGATTCTCAGCAGGTGCTCCGTGGAAGTGCCTGAGCCCCCAACGGTCCGTGGGACGCCCAGTCAATTTGCGGCACCATGGGAATGATGAATACTCTGGGTTTCTTCGTAAGCGTGGGGGGGTACCCCCCCGACAGGGGTCAACCTCGCCTCGTCGTCTCGCCGCGACAGGGGGTCGGAGCGCCTTCGGCGCGCGGCTGCTGCCCGCGACGGGGGTCGATGCGGGGCTGTCGGCGGGGGTGACGCCCCCCGACGCTTACTAAGAAACTCGGAGCCTGGACGGCACATGTGCCTGCAGAGTTTTGACGGCGCTATGTTTCAGTCGGGCTTGTCCCCCTACACAGGGATTTTGTACGAAAAATGGAAATGTTCAAATAATATTCAAAAGTAGACAAAACATAATCAACAAGTCGTGCCCGTCTTATTTTGATGTTTGGAAGGTATTCCTCCTGAGCGCTATGTGTTATCATATGTATATACGGCATGTCGTTGCCGTGTCGACGGCGGCACCGGTGCGGGCGCTCAAGGTGAGTCGCCGTTTGTAGCCCCGAAGCGGCCGACATCAAGGGATTTGGGTGTTATCTCGGGAGGCGAAAACGCAGACAGACAACTGAATCGTTGATTCCTTGGAGCATGTGGGAACACGTGGGAAGTGGTGGTGGGGCGAAGCTCAGAAAATGTGGCAAACAGATGCGGAATCCTGGGATCTGTGTATTTGTTTTTTTGTGTCCCAGGGCCCCTTCCTTGCCGGAGTGCCGCGAGCCGGGCGGGCACGGCGCGGCGTCGCAGGCCAGCGCCGCTGCCGCCGCGAGGCGCGAGCCTGCCGCACCTGTGCGCACGCGCTGCTCCTCCCCTGTGCGCCGACGCGTCCCTGGCCCGCTCCGTCCGAGCCCTGGGCGCAGGCCAGCTCAGCTTCTTTCCGTGGGGGCCCATGTCAGGAATCTGCACGAACGGAGTGGGCACGGAAAGAATGGGTACGATGCCCGACGGCAGTTCCTGTTCGTTTCGAGCAGGGCTCGCTGTCCGCGCCGCCGAGGCCTGTGTCCATTTGAGACAGAAGGCCGCCTGCCCAACAGCGGCCGCTGTTGGTTTGGGACAGCATTTGCTGTTGGGCATTGTGCCCATTGTTTCAGTGCCCATCTCGGGCGTCCAAAAAGAAGCACCCTGCTGGCCTCCAGGGTGCCCTGGGTTTCTTTGGCTCCGACGGCTCTGCCATGGAAAAAGTGCGACGCTCCCGCACCCCAAATCGAGGGACGTCCTGGGGTCTCAGGGGGGGGGGTCGCTTGTGGAAGGTTTCTCCTGTGGTCGGGCCCCCGCTGCATCCTGGGTCAGATCTGCCTGCCTCGGTCCTGGGCGCTTTCCAGCTCGAATTCTTATCGGGCTTATAGCCCTCCGCCGCTCTCGCGAGGAGACCCTTCCAGGGGCCCCCCCGACCCCCAGGCCGGATGCCGCCCACCGAGCTATTGCGCGCGCCCTGGGCCCTCCAGCCCCAGCCCGGGGCCGCCCGGGAGCGGCGTGCGCGCTTCCCCTGCCTCGAGGGAGACAACGCCAGGGCTGGACCTCAACGCTCGGTTCTGCTGGACTTCGGCTGTGTGTTTGCCGTCGGTACAGGAGAAGAGGTGGAGCGAAACGAAGCACAAAACAAACACAAAGCGACAAACCACGTTTGGGTCCACTACCGAGCGCCATGAGCATAGACTTTGGGCGCTCCGTGCGAATTCCCTTGATCCGCCCTGGGCCCCCGCCGGCGGCGCCTCCGGCGCCGCACCCGGCGCGCTCCGCGCGCCGGGGAGGGGGGTCCAGCGCGTATCCAAGAAGCCCGCGCGGTGCCCCGAAAGTCCATGTTTAGGTAATTGTTTCTTCGATTCCCGTCCCCGCCGGGCGTGCGGGAGCTGGACGGATGAACCGCAACGCATCGTTATCGCCTCCTCTTCAGGACACGCTACTGCAGCAGCGGTCATGTCGGGGCTCATGTGTGGCCCTCCCAGACGGGGCGTGCCGACATGGCATAGCAGCCAGCAAGTCAGCAGAACGTCAAGTACAGCCTTCCGTAGCGCACTAATGACGCAGACAGGCAGCGCGAGAAACACCATGTTGGATTCCATGAGCATTGTGCAGGAGTGAATCGGGATCGTGCGGGGGTCTCGTCAGAGAAGAGTTCAATGCGACATGTAGCTGGCGCGCCCCCCCTCGTCCGTCCCCCACCTCCTTCTTGCCGTCGTCGTCGTCGTCGTCGACGCTTGCCTTGGTGACTGGGGCCTTTCCTGGACTCGTCTGTGAGTGCTGCTTGTTTGGTGCACCCTGAGGCGCGATCATAGCTCCAACGGGTTTCGAGCTCCTCCTCCTCCTCCTCCTCCTCCTTCTCTCCCAAGCTTCCACTTCCTCCCTTTCCTCCTCCTCCTCCTCCTCCTCCTCCTCCTCCTCCTCCTCCTCCCCCTTCCCTCACAAGCTTCCACCTCCTCCTCCTCCCTCCTCCTCCCTTCCCTCCCAGGCTTCCACCTCCTTCTCTCGATCGATCGTCGTTCTCTGCACCTCCGCGTCCTCGTCCCCCTCGTCGCTGGGGCCGCTGCCCCCCCCCGAGTTGCTCCTTCCTTTCCTTGGGCCCGGGGGCCTTCTAGCCTTAGCCTTAAGTCGGACCTGTCCCTTTACAGGGGGAATCTGCAAAAATAGTGAAACAATAGTCTGGGGACGTTTTTTTGAGCATGTTTTGACAATTTGGGGTTATTTGTGGAGTCTTAAAAAAAACAAATTCGCCCAAAATCCATCTGTAGGGGGACACGCCCGACTTAACCTTAGCCATACCGGCAAGGAGGGGATTTCCAATTTGGTGCTGGGGATTCCCCCTTTCGAGGGAGAGCCCAAGCCGCAAGTCAGGCCTGTCCCCCTTCAGGAGGAGTATTCAAAAGTAGTCAAGAAATAGTCGGGGGACGATTTTGTGATTGTTTTTGCGGATCCTTGAATCATTTTGGATTGCGTCTTTTTTTGCCCAAAATCCGCCAGTAGGGGGACATGCCCGACCTGGCCCGAGCCTACATCGCCCCCTCCCCCTTTGATGCGGTCAGGGCTTCCCTCCTCACTTGTGATCCTGGTGCGGGAAGGTGGGTGTAGTGCAACATCGTTGGCGCATCCTGAGTTCACGTTGGCCCTCCTCGGGGTGGCGCGACGGGGGTCGGAATTTTCTGTCGGTGGTGGGGATTTCGCATGAGAAAGAGGCTTTGTTAGAAGACCTCCTGGCTCCTGAGCAGCCTTCTGAGAGGTTCCCGGTCCAGAAGGTTCCGTGAGTGTCAGCATCCCCCCCTGCCTTCACCAAAAGGCGCCAGACAAAAGCGATCAAACTTCGACCCTCCCGCCCACTCCCCCTCTGAGGACCGACGTTGCAAAGAATTGCAACATCGCAAAACATGCACGATCAGAGCCCTGGACCCCATCTGCTTGCGTCATTCTTCAGGGCGGAGCGGTCTGTGAGGGCCCTGGGGCCCGAGCCTGGGCGAACACGCCCGTTGTGAAAACATGGCCGCGCCACGATCTCAGGGTCCCCCCCGCCAGGAGTTCCACGACCTCCTCCTCAACATGTTCTGGTTCTGCAAGCTCCACGAGGTCTTCCAGGTCCTCCGCCCGCCTCGGGGCGGACGGGCGGACGGCACACCAGACACCCAGGCGGTGCAAAGGTACACATTGGCAAGGCGCACGTATGTGTCACCCACGGGCAAACGCGGCACCATCAGCATTTATCATCCTCAGAACGAGCAAGGAAAAGGAAGGATAGGAGGAGGAGGAGGAGGAGGAGGAGGAGGAGGAGGAGGAGGAGGAGGAGGAGCAGGGGAAGGGGAAGGGGGAGGAGGAGGCTCTGCAGGCTCCACGAGGTCCTCCAGGCCCTCCGCCCGCCCCGGGCTCTCGACCTGGAAAAGGGGGGCCCCGAGGCGCTGCCCGAGAGGGCCTCCCCCCCCCTCCGCATGCATATGGGGCCCGGCCCCAGAGACCGGAACGCCCGGAGCGGTCGGGGCTCAAGAGGCGGGGGTCCACGCAAGCGGGGGCCCCGCGAGGCGCTGCCCGAGAGGGGCCCCCCTCTCCACATGCAAAGGGGCCCGGCCCCGGAGATCGAAACGCCCGGAGCGGTCGGGGCTGAAGAGACTCGGGGGCGGAAAAGAGGGGGGTGATGACTAGGGGGGGGGGGATATCATGGCGGGGGCCATGATATTTCCCCAGATGTCATGGCGCCTCTTCTCATTTCATTACGTCCCTGGCCCCCCCGCTGGGCCGCGCACATGCCTCCGGTCATGATTTGCACCCCCCCTCTTGGACACGCCCCACTTGGCCGCTCCCGACTGAAGAGACGGGGGTCCACGCAAGCGGGGGTCGGCCAGGGTCGCACTGACCCGGGCTTGGGCGCAGGATCTGTTGCAGGGTCCTTTGCACTTTGACCCGGGCTTGGGGTGCTGGGTGCAGGACTTTGCAGGATGCTGCAAGGCCTGATCGACCCGGGTCTGGATTGACCTGGGTCAGAAGATCCCCGACGGTTGCCCAAGCCTGCTGGGCGTCGCTGAACGGGGGGGCGATCATCAGGCGAGGCTATAGGACGAGGACCCAGGCCCCCTCGAGTTGCGACAAAGATCGTGACAGGAGGTGTTTCGCTATTTTCGGCCTCCCGGGGCCTTTACTGGGCCTCGGGACCGTCAACAAAAAGACTCAGGAGGAAAAACCGGTGAAGAAATGACGTCGAAGGTCCGGGAACGGGAGGGCGATCATGGGGTGGGGCCGGGACGAGGATAGTATCCAGGATAGATCTGTTGTCAGAGCGCGGCCACGCTGAAGATCGGCGGCGAGCACGGGGGTGGTAATGAGAAGGAAAAAGCCTTCTCAGAAGGCGCGGTGTCGCTAGCACGAGGATCAGGTCTGTTCCAGAGCGTTCCGGAGCGCTCGCAGAGCGTTCCAGAGCGCTCTGAGGAGGCCGCGGCGCCCGAGACATTTTCGAGAGCCGCCGGATCTCAGAGATGCTCGATTTGTCCGCACCCGATGTTACCTTCGTCTTGGCCTCGTCTTGAGAAAACGCGCGGGGGAGGGCAGCGAGGGCCGCAGAAAAGAGGCCCTTCAGGGCTTCTGAAAGGGCCCTGCAGGGCCCAGAAGGGGGCCTGCAGGGCCCAAGAAGTGCACCTTTCTTATCCTTCCACGTATCTCCGCCTCCTCCTCCTCCTCCTCCTCCTCCTCCGCCTCCGTAGCCATTTTGGCTCAAGTCCGTCCCCTCCGTGGGATCTCGGACTTGGGCCGAAATGTATTCCATTGCTGTCTTGCCCAAGGCCTCCTGGCCGTGCGCCGCGCCGCCCGCTGCCAGCGCCCGCGGCCCCATATGCCCATGCTCTGGCACGCGCGGGTGATCCCGACCGTGCTGCTGGTGCTGTCCCTGTCGCTGCTCGCGCTTGTGCAGATGCCGCATACACGTTCCGAAGCGGCACGACACGTTCGTCGATGCCGTTTCCTTCAACATCACGGCCCTCGGGGTCTACAAGCTCTCCAACGTGGCCGTCTACATCGTAGTGGAGCGCGGGCAGCGCTGCAACTGGATCTACTCCTTCCTCGTGCTGTCGTGCAAGGCCCATCCATGCACAAGCTCCAGATGATCCCCTTCGTCCCCGTCGGCACGTGCGATGGCGGGGAGCTGCGCCTCGTCTCCGACTTTCTCCGCCGACTTCGTGCCGATGATGTCGTTGCTGATGGCGCCCTGCCTGATCCTGCGCTCGCCGTTCGCGGCGCTGATGATGCTGCTGTGTCTGTCGGTACCGCTTTGCATGTTCAACACGGCCATCTACCTGAAGTTCGCCGCCATCCTGGTGGAAGTCTCGCCGACACTGCCGTTGGAGTCCTGCATGCCCTCCCCGCTCACTCCGCCCGCTTGGGTGGTGCTGGACCACTTCCGCCACGGAACGGCGCTGGACCCCTTCCACCACTTCATGCGCAACCTGCCCCTGGTGATGATCTCGCTCGTGGCACTGCCGCCGATCCTGGCGCTTGCGTTCATCGCACTCCTGTTCTCCTTCATGGGCAACCTGCCGCTGGTGATGACCTCGCTCGTGGCGCTGTTCCATTTCACGCAGCTGCTCCTGCGAGTGACGGCGCTCTTCCAGCTGCCCCCGCAGGCGCCTTGCCTATGGGCTGCGTGCAGGCTCAGGTCGACGACTCCACGGAGAAGCAGTGGGAGGCGTGGGTAACGTTCGTTGACACCCAGGTCCGCGACTACGTGTCGAAGCACAACATCGAGGAGCGGGTGTCGGATGCGGTGAAGGCGCTCCTGCAGGAGATGCCCTCCGACCCCACGGAGTTCCTCTGCGCGGCGCTGCGCGGCGTCGACGCCGCGAAGGCGCCCGTGGCGCCGCCGCAAGATGGTGGCGATCCTCAAGTCCAAGCTCTTGAAGCGCGCGCAGCCGCCCTGGCCGGTGGTGATCTTCCTCCTGCCCCAGATGTCCGTCTGCATGATGCTCCTGCGGCTCCACGCGTCGGTGGAGAGCCCCTACCTTGCCCTGCTGCCCCTGCTGGTGGCGAAACTCATGATGTCGACCTGGCGGCT